ACATATGTATTTCGAACCCGAGTAGACTTTATTTTCAAAGTCTGGATGGATATATATATTTTGAACTTAAGTAGACTTTAGCCTTTTGAGTCTGAACCTGTATTGCTTCATGCTTATTTGCTCGAATGATGCATTTCATTGCTTTAAAGGACATGTGATGTAAAAAGAAGGTGAGTATATGCATGCAAATACTTGGTTGTCACGGCTTGCATGAGAATAATATAAATTCCGTCACCCACAAAATTCAACGGTGACGATGCCTTGTGTATCGAAATGCCCCGTTGGTCGAGATACCTCGAAGGGTGTACCGAGATGCCTCAGGAGTCGAGATAACCTATTGGTCGGGATGCCTTGTTGGTCGGGATGCCTTGGAGGGTGTACTAGGATGCCTCGGAGTTGGGATATCCCGTTGGTCAAGATGCCTCGGGAGTGTTCAGGAGGAAGAAGTAATGAACCTAATGCATGAGTATGAATGTTTTACATCATATGCTTGTGCCTGAGTAAAATTATTATGAAATGTTGAATTGCTCAAATTTTGTGGTATATCAGATAGAAAAGGTATAAAATTCGTTCAAGTTCTATGCATACTGTTTGTTATGCATGTATGTTGTTTGTACAAGGTGAAGTGGTAAGCTGATTTTCCTAACTTAGAACTAAATATTTCATTTATTGGATCTCGGCTCATTCCTTTATTTTTCAGATATGTAGGATGGATGTTCCACAGCCTCTGCGTTTTGGAGTTCCCGTATATTATGAAACTGTCTATGAAAACGTGTTTGTGCCTGAGTCTGAAGCAATATATACTAAATGTAACTCTACTATCTAGATTGACGTGGGTTTGGCAGAATGGGTTCCTTATCTTTTTGTTGCATAGTACTCTAACCTTGACGGCGAGTTAGTTGGCATGTTGAGGGACTTCGACTTAGATGATGGTGGTTCCGCAACGAAGGGTGAAGTCATCGATCCGTAACGTCATCAAACTTTCGTCCAAGCAGACTTTTTGAGTATATCTTAGTACGGAGATAGGCAGCCTAGACCTACCCATCCTTTTATTTTTTGTGATTATATGATGTTTGTCTGGACTTGTAAATCCGACAAGTTTTGTTAATAAGAAACATAAGTATTTTGACTAAACTTGTGTGATTTTCATATTTAAAACATGTTCAGACTTTAACTTCCACTGGCTTGATTATTAATAAAGATTAGTAATAATAAAAGACACGTGTCGCACGTGATGTAATGGGACGTCACACAGCTACCCGAGGCTCGTGAAATACCACGCAAGCCCCATAAACCGGTTAAGTTCACGTTTGAATTACATAGGTGGCCCTGACTCAAAAACAGTTCGCACTCTGTTTAAATCATTCGACTCAACAATCTCTTCTTCTTTTTATTTTCAATCCATATTTTTGAAAATATATATTTATGTGGGAAACACACCGTACACACACACTCTCTCTCTCTCTCTTAAGTACAATAGCTATTAACTATTAAGGGTGGAAAGACATGGAACTTATATAATTGTTACCACTGTTCAGTTTAGGCAGTGGAACCACTACTACTTCGTTTGGTTTGCCACTATATTTAGTTGGTTGGCCTTGAATTTCGTTTCGCCACGTTTGCACATGAACAAAGCTTTTAGCATAAGATTATACTTTCCTAAAATGTGATGTAAGGAAAATAAGGATATAATAATATTTCGCAATTAAATTATTACTACTAATGTAAGGATTGTATTAATGAAAGGGACACTGATGAGCTACCCAGCTCAAAAGTAGTCATCTTTATCCATGACTTATTTAAATTGTGATAAACACAGACTTTTCTTATCTTTTGTGTAGTTTCATTTCATTTTAGTTACGAATTGAATTGATTTCGGAGTAGTTTGAAGATTGGCTTTTAATTACCAAAGAGAGGAGTCTCAAAGTGCGCACCACAAGTCAATTACTGATTGGCATGCAATATATAAGCTCACGCACTCACACACAAACACACACACACACACACACACACATATATATATATATATAATATTATATATAGGTGCATCTTTTATTTTTGCTACGCAAAGAAAAATCACAAAAGAATTAACTTATGGGCTAAGAGTCAGAGGGAGGATTAGATATTCATGGGCCCAAACAAAAGGTCCAACGTTTTATATATGGCGTACTGATTTATATTTTTCTTTTTTATTTATATTTGAACTGTTCTCTTTCCTTTTTCCCCAAACAAATATATTATATTGCACATTTTTATTCTATTGTTTTTTCAACGTAACTTAAATTTTTTCCAACTTAGCTTTGTCGTATATAATTGTGCTTTTATTCCTTATATCTATAAATCAAACCACGTATGTTCAAGAGTATATATTCTTCTTTTATTTTGTTATGAAATCCTTAAAAAAATCTATTGCAATGAAATCTGAACATAAACAATTCGCTCCATTCTTCTCAAACTATTTAATATATGAAAATAACTCTCTACTACCTTGTGATATCATAAAAAATCTTAAAAGGTTTTTTATTTTTCACAATCGATGAAGCTAAAATTTCAGTATATGGTGTTGGTTCACCATCTAAACGAAACGCATACTACAAAGTAATTGTCTTCATTTTGATAATATAGAATAAAACTAGAAGAAGCATATCTTTTTCGAAGATGAAAAAAATAATGATATTCAATAAAAATTGTGTTGCACAGAAATTTAATTTCTTCACTGCATCGCGCAGATTCCTTATAGTGTAGATGAGTATGAGGCTATAGACATGTACGAAAGGATTCATGACACATTTACTCAAGACAATTTCGTCTTACAAAAGATCCCAAATTGTTATCATCGTGACATATTTATCCCAAACTAATTTTTATTCCACTGAAAATCCCAAATCAATGCCTCAACTCAAATCTACATATAGATTTCTCATGTCGGATTTGTCATTCTCCATATTATATTTGTCTTGCAGTCGCCTACCATGTGTGTTAACACGTATACGTTTTCACAAGCTGTTGGACATATTGCTACCAATTTGGATTTTCTTGTGAGACGAAAATTAGCGTGAAACAAATGTGTCGATTTGGAATTTTTAGTAGATGAAAATTAGTTTGGAGTTTAATATCTCATTCAAGTAGAAATTGAAATTTTTTGTGATACATAAATTAATTTGGGCAAATGTGTCATGGAGTACCAGTTTGGAATTTTTAATAATATTATCCCCACGGAAAATAGACATGCGCACGGGTCCACTTACATGGCACAACTACACAAATAATACTCAACCTCATATATTATATCTACTTTTACACTAGCAAAGCGGTGCACGCTTATGGGTGTGCACACATGGAGAAGTTTGCGCGAGAGGAAAGAAGAAAGTATAATCGGATTTATCTCGGAAAATAAATTTTGCATAAATCGAGGGGAAATTGTCAAATAAGGACCCAAAGTGGGTGCCTTTTTTCAAAAAAGGACCCCAAGTGGACAAAGTATCAATTAAGGACCCAAATGCCCAAACTAGTATCAAATAAGGACCTGAGCTTGCCGGCCGGCCAAATGTTCGCCGGCCGGCGACCGGCCGACATTTCCGGCACCGGAATAGGGGCAATTTTGTCCAAAATTTTTTTTCTTTTTTTTTCCTTTTCTTTTCTTCTTCCCCGGTCACACGTCCAGCGACCAGTGACCGGGCCAGAGCTGAGGCCAGCGAGAGCTCGAGCTCGCCGGCCATGGCGAGCTCCGCCCATATCTGGGCGAGCTCAAGCTCGCCGGCCATGGCGAGCTCGAGCTCATGCCGGCCCTCGCCATGGCTGTGCGACGGCGAGGGCGGAGCTCGCCATGGCCGGCGAGCTCGCCCAGATGGCCGACGAGTTCGAGCTCTCATCGGTCTTAGCGAGCTCGAGCTTGCCGGCCATGGCACCCTCCCCCTCCCCTTCCCGCTCCAAGTTCTCCCCACGGAAGCCCCCGCCAGAGTCCTCGGGCTCCGCCGCCAGCCCCGCCCCGCCCCGCCCGGGATACGGCCCTCGACAACCCGGATCTCGGGCCCTTCCTCCCGGGCTCGCGCGACACCATCGCCTCCCGGCGACGCCCCCGCCAAGGCCCTCGACTACGCGATCCGGCGAGGCCTCCCCTCGAGCTCGCCTAGATCCGGGCGGAGCTCGCCATGGCCGGCGAGTTTGAGCTCGCCCAGATCTGGGCGGAGCTCGCCGGCAGCTCACCATGGCCGGCGAGCTTGAGCTCGCCTAGATCTGGGCAGAGCTCGCCGGCCGAGCTCGCCCAAATGGCCGGCGAGCTCGAGCTCTCGCTGGCCTCAGCTCTGGCCCAGTCGCCGGTCGTCGGACCAGTGACCGGGGAAGAAGAAAAGAAAAGGAAAAGAAAAGAAAAGAAATTTTGGACAAAATTGCCCCTATTCCAAGGTCTGGAATGTCTGGCAGTCGCCGTACGGCTGAACATTTGGCTACTAGGCGAGGTCAGTCCTTATTTGATACTAGTTTGGGCATTTGGGTCCTTAATTGATACTTTGTCTACTTGGGGTCCTCTTTTGAAAAAAGGCACCCACTTTGGATCCTTATTTGACAATTTCCCTAAATCGAAACTCCACATAGATGAGATTTTTTTTTTCTGGGAGTATGCTTTATTATATAGGGAGATTAGTTTATTATATCAGACTAGAATAAAATTCTTCTTAACCTGCAGCATGTCTCGCCTATAAGTCAGGAGAAATTCTCACACCTCTATATTCTTTTTTTCTTTTTTCTTTTTTTACCGTTTGCCCTAATTTGTTTTTTCTCAAAATAAAATAAACAAACTCACAAGTCAAAAGTCAAAAGTCAAAAGTCCAAAACGGAAAAGTCAAACGCGTAGCCATGTGGCTCCGGGACGAATTTACCGAGCTGCCCCTCCCCCCGTCGAACGCGCGTGCGTTTCGCAGGCTCCCCCCACTGCGCGACCTTTGGCCCTCGCGGAGGAGCGATACTCGTCTCGAAAAACGACTTTTGCCTCCCTTGATTTTCGATTGCCGTTTTTGCTCTCGAGCTCGTCTCCTCCTCCTCCTTCTTCTTCTTCTTCGTTCTCTCGGTTGTTCGAACAGGAAAGAGAGAGAGAGAAAGGAAGGAGGAATCGAATGGCTTCCCAAATCCTGAGGCGCGCGATCGGAAGCCGCTCGAGCCACTTCCTCCCGTCGACCCACCGGAACCCTAATTTCAGCTCCGGCTCCGGCTCGCTCCTGTCGGCCGTCGCCCGAGCCTTCTGCTCCCAGGCCCCGATCCGCGCCACCCTCTTCCCCGGCGACGGCATCGGCCCCGAGATCGCCCAATCCGTCAAGCAGGTCCTCCCTCTCTCTCTCTTCCCTCCGCGCTCGATGCTTAGTCTCGTCCGTGCTTGTCCGTAATCCAGCTCCGGTTCCGAGGTTCGTGGAGGTCGATCCCCCTTTGCCGCCTCCCGGCTCGTCGTGTTCGTCTTCGTCGTGTTGGGAAAACGTCCTGTCCTTCTGTTTATTTCGCTTCTTTTTTTTGGGGGGGTTTGAATTTCGTGCTTTCGTCGTTTGTCTGTCTTGAGCTTCTTTTTCCTTGGGCGGATGGAGGACGAACGGATGGCGCTTTGTCGTCTTGCTTGATGAATTCTGGCAGCTTTTGTAGTGGGTTAAGCATGATCATTGAGATGACCGGGTAAACTGCGCGGCGGGACTTGGAGTTTTTCGGTGCATACGAAAGAAAATTTCATGTTGTTTAGAGAGAGAAAGGATCACCCTAGTTTTGGCGGCGGATTAGTTGGAAGTGGAGCTGACTCTAATGTGACAGGACCTGGTTGATATCGTATCTACAGTGGTTATGACTGCAATGATAAATACTGCCTTTTAGCTCGAGTACTCGAAAGCCTTCTTCTTCTTCCAGTATGTGAGCAGCGAATTGATTTTTTCTGTTCTTTCCTCATTAGCCATGGCTGTTTCCTGTCTACAAATTTTGTTATTTCCATTCACCGTAAAGGATCTTTGATGGACATGCTCGGCTAATCGCAGATTCAGGCCCTAAACTAGGAACTGCTCTTTTCTTAAGGTAGCTTTATACTGATATGAGGGCACTGACTGGAATAAGTTTGCAATTATAATTGTCCTGAGAGTTGAGATGGATTTTACATTCTTTAGTGTTAAGTTTCTTTTATTTTTGTTTTCGTCTTTTTCTCATCTCATCATGCAGTTTAACTTCTGGTTAGCTGTCCTCACTATCTCCTTAGCTGCACTTAATCTTCTTCAAGCAGCTGGGTGGCGGTCTTGCTTACTTTTAGTTTTTGCTGTTTTCACGAATGTAGGTTTTCCAGGCGGCTGAGGTGCCAATTGAGTGGGAAGAGCATTATGTTTCAAAAGAAATAGATCCTAGAACCCAAAGTTTCCTCACATGGGAAAGTTTGGAATCTGTCCGTCAAAATGGTGTAGGTCTAAAAGGACCAATGGCCACTCCGATTGGAAAAGGTCATCGCTCTTTAAACCTCACATTGAGGAAAGAACTTAACTTGTATGCAAATGTTAGGCCTTGCTACAGTCTTCCAGGCTATAAAACACGGTATGATAATGTCGATCTCATCACCATCCGGGAGAATACCGAAGGGGAATATAGTGGACTCGAACATCAAGTAAGTATGTTTCATGATAAACAAGTTCTTGTGAACCACCTTTTTGGTTGTTCTTTTAAGAGATCATCTCTGGTTGTAGGTTGTGAGAGGTGTTGTTGAAAGCCTTAAAATTATTACTCGACAAGCGAGTCTGAGGGTGGCTGAATATGCTTTTCACTATGCCAAGACCCATGGAAGAGAGAGAGTCTCAGCTATACACAAAGCCAATATCATGCAAAAAACTGATGGTCTTTTCCTGAAGGTTCGTCAGTAAGAGAGTTAATTTGTAGGCGGCTTCATTTTCAGGGTTGCATTGTATCACTGTGACTTAATTCTATTTTGTCTTTATTGGCAGTGTTGCCGTGAGGTTGCAGAGAAGTATCCTGAGATAACATATGAAGAAGTCGTGATTGACAATTGCTGTATGATGGTAAATGCACGATTCTTTCTATAGAGAGGCATTAAGTTACTCATCCAGGAAAAAAAAAAGTGAGACATTAAGTTGTGAGTGAATGAAAAACTAGAATGAAAGGTCAAGATCAAGCCATATCCTATAGTTCTAGTATAAATAACATTTAGATTATCTTTTTGAGAATTGATATTTCTACCACTATTCTGATGAGATTAGCCGTCTTGGGTAATATGTTTAGGCAGTTATCATTGTCCAATAATTGTGCTTATCCATCTTTATTCATGTCATGAGATAACTATGCTTCTGCTTGATTTTTCTTTAGTACATCGATTGTTGTTCTTTAGGTACAAAAGAATCTTTAGTTAGATGACTTTTCAAATTTGCTAAAAATAGGACCAAGTTTTGATGTGTTTATTTGTCTTTGTGCATGTGTTTTGAGTAAATAAATACATCATGCATGTGTGTCAAAGGAGCAACCTATTGGATTAAGCTAGAACTTTGTTCTGTTGGGTACAGCTTGTTAAGAATCCAGCACTATTTGATGTGCTAGTGATGCCCAACCTCTATGGCGACATAATTAGCGATCTGTGCGCTGGATTGGTGGGAGGGTTGGGTCTGACCCCAAGGTATTTTTCCATTTTGAGTTTTCAGTTATGTTCTATAATGTGCATCTGCAGTATCTGACTAGTGTGGCTTTCTGTAAAGCTGCAATATTGGGGAGGGAGGCATTGCTCTCGCAGAAGCGGTACATGGCTCAGCTCCTGATATTGCTGGAAAGGTTAGCTTTAAATTGACTTGCAATTTGTAACTATTTGATCACATTGCAAATATCTTATGTAGGGTTTATTTCCTCTTCCATTGCTACTTACTTTGTCTGGGTCTCTGTTTTTTAACATTTAAGTTATGTGGTAATTTTGGACTGATCATGTCGAGTATCACTTATATATAGATGAAATGTGATAACAATGTTGAAGTCTTGTTTCTCAAGTGGTTGAGACAATGAAGCTGTGCATAGAACTTGGTATAATATGTCTGGACGCTGGATCTTAACCACTACAAAAGGAAAAATTCCAGGTGATTGGTTTCTGTGAGAACTTGGACTTGCAGGTCTACAATATACCATTGCATAAGAGGATATCTGATATATGGGAGAGTGCTTGGAATTCTAGAGAGATATTGTTGGAGGAGGGAGCTTCTCCTTTCCCTGATGTGAGCTTCCCAAAGCACTTAGGCTGCATTTGGTAGCCAGGATTTGAGTCCAGACCTATCCGGTGCTTGGTCATGTTTTCCAGACCGGATAAACCCAGATACATCTAGATAAAATGCCAGAAGATAAATCCGGTCTAGGGGGTGGGATAAACCTAAGATTGAATATAAAATTTAAAAAATTACTAAAAAATATATATTTTTTCTTTTAACGGGGTGATAAAGTGACGCATCGGTTATTGCTTCGCTAGCACCGCCCACCCGAGGACCACCACCAAAATTACCGATCATCGTCACTTCCGGCCACCGCACGATCGCCGTCGCCTTTGACCACCCCGATCATTACCGCCAGCCGGCGATCGTGTTCCGACAAGTGAGGGTGAAAAGGGGCCTAAAGATGATCGTCATGCCGGATTGCATAGATCATCCTTACCACCCTAGTCGTATACATCCTTCACGTCGAGCCCGGCCTTTCACAATTGACTTGAGAGCCGGCTGTTCACCTGTTGGTCGACGAAGAACGGCCTGCACACCATCAGCTTCTTCGCGACCACGTTCTCAAGCGTCGAGTTCTACTTGCTGTGCACCAAGAACGCTGCAATGGCAGTGTGGTGCAGAACCTCCTCTTGCAAGCCCATCCCACGATGAACACCTTCTCTGTTTTCGCCTCTCTTAGCCGCTTTCTTCGGCAATGGAGTCCGGCCTTACGACCCATGGGAAGTGCCTCCCGCTGTTCACGAGGCCGTCCCAAAATTATGTGAACTCATGTCATACTCCTGAGGTCGACTTCTCAGAGACGTGTTCAAGAGGGTTTGAGTCTTGCATATAGGAGAAGCAAAGTCAAAGATGGGATTTTCAAAGATTTTCAAATGAAAAGGATTTTTAAAGATTTTCAATCTTATCTTAGGTTGCGGATTTTCGAAGATTTTCAAAGATTCCAAATCCTATCTTGGGTTTCACCAAACATATGATATGTCATTTTTACAATCTGGGGATATGTGGAGGATTTCAAATCCTCCTTTATCCTGTCTTATCCCAATCAAAATCCGAACGACCAAACGCAGCCTTACTTTACTCAGCCTCTCGGCTAAGATCAAGTGAAACACTCCGAAGTGGGTGCTTCTTTTGCTTCTTTCATTATAGTTTGGTTAGTTCCATTTCAAACAACTTAATTCTACCTAGATCCTGGTACCATTAAGATAATTTTAACATACTGACATATTGAGTGGAGAATGGACCATAGAAGCCATTCTTCGTAGAAGCTGGTGAAGTAGTTGGAACATTGATTTTCTTCCTTTTAACTATGCTGGAGCAACTTTGCTCCCAGTTCATGAGAATCCTTACTTGCTAGGCTTCAAAAGTCAAAAGAGGGTATGGACGTCAATCAAAATTCTTTCCTCTCAATAGTATGCGGATAGTGATGCATTATGGGCAGCAGGGTTTTAGATAGCGGTTGTGGTTGAGGAAGCAGTTGCACTGCGGACTGCTGTAGTTGCTTATGTGGGCGTGGTGACCGCCAAATAAGGGATAGGTTGTAGGAGGGTGACTTTGTAGAATGTTCACACAACATGTCGTAGATTGGTGAGATTTTTTGGCTTACATATATATGTAGTTGCGATTTTATAGGAATATTGGAGTACTTTTCACTATGTGAAACGGTGCCAAAATGTTTGATTGTATGGATTTATGACTGAATTTCGATTGTTGTGAAGGGGAAGTATGTTTTTGGCTTGTTCCTTTGCTTTATGTGGTGAAAAGTTGCTATACTCCCTAAGCCGTAGTTCTAAAGATTATATTTTGGTAGAAACTTTTAGTTTTTATGGACGGTTTTGACGATTACTTTTGAACAAGACCTTTTAGTTTTCACCAGGCCTTTAATTTCCTTGTCTATTCAGTCTGACTTGCATGTTTTGGTCTGGATGAGACCCAGCACACATTCAGAAGGTAAAAGAATAAGTAAGAGGAGGCCAACCCCGGATACTTAGTTTTCATTATGTCTCTAGGACTCTCTTTTCTCTCTGCAAACGCCATTTTTAATGAAGATGAGTTGAAGTGCAATAGCAGCTTCTTTTGTGGGTTGAATATATAATGGTGATAACGTCACGAGAGGTGTTATTAGGCATTATCACTGCAATAGCGCTAGTTGCGGCCCAGAACAATATTGATGGTGGCCACAACTGCTATTTAAAACCTTGGTTGGCAGTTGGGGAAGTGTATCAGAAAGATAGAAAGAATTTTTCTTGATTAATTTGGTGATCAGGCATGGTACTGTGCATGTTGATGTCGTTTACAATTCAATTAGGGCCTTTTAAAAGTACCTTCTATTTTCTTTTTGAAAATCTGACATTTGAATGTGTGTTTGTGTGTGATTTTAAGAAATTATAAAAAATTTTGATGGCTTCACATATCAATGTTTGTATGCTTTGAAAGGTCTAGTCTTCGACCATTACCATTTCAAATCCTACAAGAGAAGGAAAAAATAAAAAGTGAAGGGAAAGTCATTCCAAATAGATCCTGTATCTCCTTGCTGCATCTTTCACATTGAGCTCATGCTAGATGATCACTTTTTTTTAAGTAAAGATATTTATCCAATTGGTCCTTTTTTTGTGTAGGATTTAGCAAATCCAACTGCCCTGCTGTTGAGTGCTGTCACAATGCTACGCCACTTGAAGCTTAATGATAAAGCTGATAGAATCCAAGATGCTATCCTTAACACCATTGCTGAGGGGAAGTACCGAACCGCTGACCTTGGTGGCAAATCAACAAACACCGAATTTACAAAAGCTATTTGCGATCATCTTTGAACTAGTTCAGCAGGAGTGTTCCAATTTTCAACAAAGTCGGATGTTCTGGGATTAAGACCACATCTCATGAATGAATCAGGAATTCTTCAATATGCTTCTAAGCTGCAGAGAAATGGAAAGGCATTTGCAGGAACCTTAACCATTCCCTTATCACCGGCCTTTTGGTGACAGTTTGAATGAACAGAATATAAACTATCAATTCGGCATGTCAGAGGGAAACATGCTTGATATTCTTTTCCTATATATTCGTAATTTCACAAAATAAAACATCACGATGTGGTGCGACTCTCTGTCTTTCTTAGATTTGTGATTTTCCTTATAATTGTTTTCAGACGGACGACGTTCACAAAGGAAATTATGTCGATATTGTTCTCTGTGTAGTTTTCCAGTTATGTTCTTCCGTCAATACATTGTATACGGTGTTCCTTCCTGTGATGCTCTGCCGTGTATTTGTTCTCTGAATTTCATCAATCCTCTGTTCGGATTCAAATTTTTTTTTTTCACTTGTCACGGTGCATTGCTGAATATGCAACTTGCTGTTATGATGCGCCCTGTGCAGATTGACAATTTTCTGCATCCTACTGGGATAACATGCTTGAAAATTCATCAGTCCTGAGAGTGGAAAATGCAAATTTTGTGCGCAAATCGAGCAGAGTATTGTTGGCTGGGAATTTCCTGACTGGAGATTTACTAATGCACTTTAATTAGTTGCAGGACCGTTTGCACTTGGAATGATCATTTGCATACCTAGTCAAGCTTGTCTAGTCAGCAGTTTGGTCGTTTCTCGTGTTCATTCATTCCATTTTTGAGTTAGGGAAGAAATCACCGCCTCCTGTTAGTGTTGATGTGATTCTCGGTGACTGCGACCGAGCATGTGAACATTGAACATGTGACAATTGCACTGGTCATATGGTCGTGCATTTCGACATGTAGTGCCTGTGTTTACTTCTAACTCGGCTTGCCTGGATCTGAACTTGGAAGGTAATCAGCTTTTCGCGAGGAGTTAGGGATGGTCCCAGACGGTTAAATCCATTAGCAGCAGTTTCGGTTAAATCCATTGGCAGCCGTTTGTTCTTACGGAAGTTTATCAACCTTAGAAAACTCGAGACGTGTGGTCATGCGCTTAGAGGATTTCAGGGGCAATGTGAGGTTATAAGGTGGATGACGGTAGTGCAGGCACATGTGCATTTCGAAACGACAGCGATGATTTACGGACTTTCTTGACGGAAACTCCTGATTTGATAGCGGACCGCCTCTCGACGTCTATAGCGAATTTGCCAGAACATTGGCAACGCAGGATACATTGAGCTTCTGCTCGAGCCATTAGGCAGGTTGTTGTTATACATCACAAGACCCCAGCGAGTCGAGCGAAAAGCTCCAGGCTCATGGCATGCTGCTTCATCGTATACAGGAAATGGACACTGTCGACCAAGCTGGAGATTAATGGGGCCCGGGAACTGTGTAAGCCATTTCAATGATTACTGTCTCAATCTTTCACTTTCTATCTTCTCGTGTTTTTTTTTTTTCTCTCTCTCTTTCTTAATTGCAAGGGACTTAATTGAGATAGACGGCATATGGGGGGACCATGGGTCGGGGCAGGTGGGTGGGTGGGCGGGGCCTCAAGTCAATTTTCGGCCCGCCCTGAACAGACGGGGACTGGTCCGGACAGGCAACGAAAGGTTTGGACTGAACTAAACTGGTCTAGGCAGGGCGATTCTAAAATAGATTGGGCGTTACATTTTTTACGACCTAATTCTCTAAAACACCCCTAAGGTTAGGTATACTTCCAATTCTGTCCCGAATTTTATTTTGTCTAAAAAAAAACCCCAAATTGTAGATTCAGTCCCAAATCTACCCGAACTTTGTTTTGTCTCAAAAAAACCCCAAACTTTAGGTCTAATCCCAAATCCGCCTTGATTTTGTTTTGTCTAAAAAAAATTACCAACATTGAATTTATATTCAAGTCTACCCTGTGGTCTAGTCCCAACTTGACATGGCATTTTCATGTTGATAAACAAGGTGACAGGAAATTTTATCTACAAAATGGAATTGTTCTAGGATATGAAGATTAAGGACGATTAACGGCAACTTTTGGATAGGGAGCTAATGGGGACAAATTTGGGATTGGAGTAAAAATTGATGATTTTTCTCTTCGAAAAAAAATAAGTTCGGGGTAGATTTGGTACTAGACCTAAATTTTGACGGTTTTTTTTAGACAAAAAAAAAAATTCGGGGCAAATTGGGGCTGACCTAAAGTTTAGGATTTTTTTCTAGACAAAAAAAAGTTCGGGCCGGCATTGAAAGGAGACCTGAAGTCGGGGACTTCTTAGGGAATCAGGCCTATTTTTTACATAAAAAATTATTCACATATCTAATTTTTCAACTAAAATTTGAATTTATTATAGTGGTTCTAGCATAAAAAAATGTATTTACTATAATTCATATTTTCTTATGTTATATTTATAAAGTACGGCCCAAATGAAAAAAAAGGACAGAATACGATTAATCGTCACTGAGTCAGTGTGAACATCTTCGTCATCTAAGTTTGAGCTCAAATCAGTACACTTTCGTTTTTGTTCGGACCTTCCTACAGGCTTGGATTTATAATATACTTTGGCAATTACTCAATGCACACACGATTATCATGTTCCGTGATCAAATTAGGATCAAAGGTAAGTAGATTTTAATGACACGGGGATAATTACCATTAATTCCTAAAATGGTACAGGGAAAATTACCAGAAAAAAGTACTAAACTTACTATACTTTTTGCCAGTTCAGTCTTAAACCTTTTAATTGTGCCAATTGAATTAATCCAACCAATTACGGCTGGAAATTGCTGACGTGAACGTCAGCCGTCCTACATGACACGGCGGTCGCGAATGTGGACAATTGTCTGAATTATTTTTAAAAAAATTTTAGATTCTTTTATTAATTTTTTTGTTTTTTCTTTTCTCTTTCCTTTTTTTTTTCTTTTCCTTATTTTCGTTTTTTTTACCCTCACCGGCCCTCACCTGCTAGGGGTATGCAATTGGACCAGGTTTACCCAGGAACTGATTTCATTTTTTGGGAACCGGTTCCCGATTCCAAGTGAATACCCACCCGAGAATCGCACCAGTTTCGAAACTAGCTTTGGAACCGATTTTTAGCTAGTGTTAAAAAAAAACCCTAGTTCAGTCGCCTCTCTCTCTCTCTTGTAACGGGCCGCATACACAGCATTGTCCAGGTTCAATCGCTGCCTTACTGTCTTTTTCTAGAAGTTCCTATTCTCCATGTCTTTTGTTTTTCTCTGTTTCTGCAGAGCAATATCGTGCATATCAGAATACTAGACCTCTCTACCAAAATTTGGGAGAAAACATGGCATTGCAATGTAATTATAGATTTTCGTATATACCCACTTCTAAGGTTAAGCAACTCTGGTCTCTACTAGCTAGAGAGATGTATGTGAGTGACATCTGCATTCATTTCCCATCGTTTCATCTTTGCGAGCATGGTTCTTTGATGGACTCCCTCGAGAAAATCCACAGCTTGCCGGAATTCAAGAGCAGGATAATTGACAAATCTTTCACCTGTGATATGAAGCAGCGCTCGTGGCGTCTCATACTGATTGTCGAATCCATAGCAATTCTAGCTCGACCATGAAGCTGATCCCCAAGTCTTATCCTGATGGTGTTGGTGCTTGTCGCGGCACGGTTAGAGAGGAACTGGTGCTAGACATCCCGCCGAACAGTTTTATTGATGTCAACAGTCGCAAGTACGACCTCAATAGAACAAACTTTAACGTATGCTTGATGGCTTTCCAAAGTTCTTTCGACTCCTAGAGTGGTGGAAGGTTTGATTTGCACTCAAGATTGGTTGGGAGCTATTCGTGTGTCGATTAATATTGAAGAGTGCATCAAGAATGCGGAAAAATTTGAGTCGGGTAAGTCGTGTATTTTTTGGTTTAGGCGGATTGCAATTTTTATTATTAATCTTTTACTTTGAATCGTTTCATTACCACTCATTATTTTTAACCATAATCAAGAACAAAAGAAAAACAGGTTCTCAGGTAGACCTTGACACCAGACCGGAAAAATAGGGTCGGTTCAAAGCAGGTTCAAGGGATAGGTTTCAGGTTTCAGTCTGGTACCCATCCTAAAACCGATCACCCCTATCAACTACCACTGGGCAAGGGCCATGAAGCCCTCGCCAATCGTGAGTGAGGGTCGCGGTTCGCAGCCGCGATGGCCTCTCCCAGATCTAGGCAAGGGTACTGCGGCTAGCGAGGGCCTGGCGATCCTCATCGGTTGCAGTTAAAAAAACAGAAAAGAAGGAAAATAAAAAAATAAAAAAAATTGAAAAAAAATTCGAAAAAATATTAAAATTATTCATGTCAGTGAGGATCGTGCCATGTAGGACGACTGACATATACGTCAATGATTTTTCGGTCAAAATTAACCGAATAGACTCAATTGGTAAAAGATGAAAAATGTTTAAGACTCAATTGGCACAACTGAAAGGTTTAGAACTAAATTAGCCAAAGTACAATTGGTTTATGACTTTTTTGGTAATTTTTTTAAATGATACCTGCAAAAATCCATAGGAAATTCTAGAAATCACTACAACAAAGCAGGCCTATAGAGTTGCAAAACAAACCAAAATCTAAAAATTAAGGTACATCATTAGAGCATGGTCGGCAAAGTACACGATCATCCTTCAAGGATCATCGGCCGATCACTAAATTACACATCATTAGTAGTGATGAGCATACGCTGGGATCTCCCTCTGTAGCTATAGTTTTGCCTTTCGGCAGTGTGCACTTAGGTTCAGCGTCCCCAACACCATCACCATCATCGTACGGAGACAATAAAAACATGTTAAACAAGCTTAGATTTAACATCTGTAAGAGTGAGTACTTTAGCAAGTGCAAGACGCTAGAGCTTCTAATAAAAATATGTTAAACAAGTACGAATCTAATACCGAAGCTGCTGTGAATGCCATTGATACTGGAGGTGGAGTGCCTATTCATAAAAACTCCAAAATTAGAACTAGATGAGGAGAGAAAAGCTCCCAAATCCAAGATCAGGAAAGCTAAACTTCCAGATTTAAATCTAGATTGGAAGAGTAGAGCAAGAAATAAGAGAAAATAGAAGGAAAAGCAATCAAAGAGGGAGGAGAGGGAGAGATTTACGTCAAATCCCTCCTCTCTAAAAGTTCAAGAAGGGCATAAACTCAAAAAAATTTGAAAATTATCAAATGGTTAGTAGATGCGAGCCTTCCTGTGTTAGATTTGGTTGCGAAGCTACGGTAACTCCAATTTTAACCGACTTGTGCATGAGATTGTATAGAGGAAATTTGTGCATAAAAATCCCAAAATCATAATGAAACTCGTGTAAAGCTTTCGTGAAACTATATCTTCTTATATAAATTCGTAGATCGCATTCTCACAAATTTTCGAACATGCAACGAAGAGAATGGAGATCAGCAATATTAAGCATCGAGGTCTATACTGATCGAGATCGAGCTTATTATCGCAAGACACTTCATAAATCACTCGTCGTCTCACGTTATCTTTTCATGTACTTACTATTATTTACATAATTGGCATTGCAAGATCTCGAAACAATTCGTGTTAAAGATAACAGACTCGATCGATAGAGATGGATAAAGTAGTTAATATATGTTGACTATTCTCGATACATCACAGAAAACTAATCACATTACCGACCCCATAATTAAATTGTCGTATAGGCGACACCGTTTGAACTAATCAAATTTTTTTACAAAACCTAGCACTTGTCAAAATAGAAAGCGACGCACCCACAATTAAAAACTCCAAATCGGCCCTTCTTCTCTCTCTTGCCAACCATTTGGTCCATTTCCTGTGTTAAAGATCGGTGCTTTATCTATCTGCACAAAAAAAAAGCGGCTCATGAACGATTTGCCCTTTGACCCCTCCTGCACAATTCAGCAAGAGGCATATGTTCCTCCTCCCCTCCTCCCATTTTCCACCCATCTTCCCCTCCCGTTTCCATAACTCCGTCCCATCCCATCCTTCAACCGTCACCAGCCATGATCACTCCGTCCGTCGAAGATTGAGCACGACATCTTCCTCTTGGTTTTCTTGCCTCTCGAATTCCCAAATCTGTCAACCCCATCATAGCTAAGCTAGCCTTCCCAATTCCTTCCAAAAACTGTGCGAAATCGAAGGTCCCGACCACACCCCCCCCCACGCCCCCCCCCCCCCCCACGACCCAAAGATCAGTTTTTCAGTTGCTCCCTCTGAAGAATCGCCAAGAAGACCACTACCCACCGGAAAATCAAGATCGACCCAGCAATCACAGTGCTCTTTTCTTGATTTCTTGATTTACCCCCACCGATTTTCCTCCGTTTCACTTTTCAAGAACCGGCGGCGATGAGCGACCACCCGCGGCTGAGCAACCTCCGGACCACCACCCAAATCTTGAAGCAGGCGGCCTCCACCTTCAACTCCAACCCCGTCTCCTTCCTCTTCCTCTCCTTGCTCCTCTTCTCCTTCCGCACCCTCGTCGAGAACGGCTCCTTCCTCCTCACCTCCTACATCGACCGCGACCCTTCTCTCAAATCCCTCCTCTCCCGCCTCGACCTCGCCGGGAACTACCCCCACCCCCACCCCCACCAGCAGGGCCTCCGCGGCGAGCAGCCGGCCCACCTCCGCCGGCGCCACCGCCCCTTCCTCCACCTCACCCGCGTCGGCACCCTCGACGACGACTTCTTCTCCGGGGACGATGACCCCAATCGGTCCCTCTTTAGCCACCATCGCAGGGATCAGCCTAATGGCACTCTCGTGATCCTCTCTGTATCCAGGCCCGGCTCGGGGTTCTCGCCCAACTTCGTGGATAACGGCCTGCGGTATCCGGAGATTGTGCATCCTGGGGTCCAATTCAGAGTGGATGATCGGCTGTTTAGGTCTGATGAGGATGTTGGTGAGAAAGAAGATGGTGATGGTCAAGAGCAAGAGGAGGAGATGAGAGGTGAGAAGGAATTTGATAGGATTGTCGATTTGCAATTCTTTATCAAGGGTCTAGAGCTGGGTCGCCATGATGCCGCCGCTTTCTTTTTCCTTGTGAGCTTCTTGTCTGCAGCTTATGGCTGGGTGATTCTAGGGTTTCTGGTTACGTATTCATGGGTTTTCGGCTCTGTGTTTGTTGCGGTGGTCAATAATGTTTTGGGGCGGTTTAGCTCGCTCATTGGAGTACTGTGGCAGGGATCGAGATTGGGACTCAGGAGGCTTTCTGGGTTCATTTTAATGAGGTGGGCAGTGAGAGATGCGTTGACTCAGATGCTTGGTTTGTGGTATTTTGGTGAAATTGAGGATCAGTACTCATTCTTCAAACTGTTTGTGAGGTTGAAGTTGATGCCATTCTCAGTTATGCTGCCGTGGACTCGGGGTTTTGAGAAGGAAATTTCGGCATTCTTGTTTGTATGGTTCTTGTTTGATACAGCTATTGCTTTTGTATTCGTGGTGGATGCTTGGATTGCCATTGTTGATTCGAGGAAGAGTGGGAAGGAGATTGTTAAGGAAGGTTGTTACTTGGTATTGACAATGTGGAATCAGGCTATTCAAATTAAGTGTTTGGAAGCGATAGTTTGTGGGACTTTTGTGAGATGGGCTCTGGGACGAGTTGGGGGAAAGGTGTTTGCTTCAGTTTTCCAGTCAACTATGGAGGTATTTTTCATGGTGGCTTGGCTGTTCTTTTATCTTGCAACAAGATGTAAGGATGCTTCAATGGGAAGGCGTTTCGAAATTAGAGAATTGGAAACAGTGGTGCAGGGTCTTAGATGATATCTTGTGGTAATCAGTGGAGAACTTACTTGCATGCTTCAGTTTCCTATGTCCAAACTGCGGTGACTATCTGGCAGTGCTTTGTGTACTCTGCGTTTGCCATACAAGTGATTGGTTTTGGTGTATACTGGCGATATGTTGATATTCTCAATCAAGAGGCCAAACTTACCAATGTATATGACCACAAGAATGCTGCATTGGTATATTAGTTGCAATAATTGCTTATACCTGTTGTGATGGTGGGTCTCATGGTTCTATATCATGTACTTTTTCCTGGATGGATTTCTTGTGTGGTTGAATTGGCAAGCATGTTGCTTCTATTCGATCTTTCAATATTTTCACTGCAGTCCTTTGCTAGAACTGTGAATATAACCGAATTGGAGACTTCACTGATAGTGTGTTCTTGGAACAGTATAGTAATCTGTCAAGATTGCCAGAAATCTGAACATTATTTGCTGAAACTGTTTCGTGGTTATTATTCCCTCATATGATACCTAAAATCTAGACAATTATTGGGATAACCTTTTTGTAGTAGGTACCTTCATTGACAGTGGTATAATGCATCTGGTGTGGTTTAGTCACAGGAAGTTCGCCATGGCAATTAAATGTACTTCTGGGCAGATCATTATTCACTTCAGGACAATCGAGGGCCTGAAGAAGATTTATTTGGCTTTGAGGAATTCTTATTCTCTGTTTCGCTTATATGCTAATTTAGTTGTGTTATTGGGCTATTTATAAAAGTTTTTGCTTGAGTTTGTATCAATTTTCCCCCTGTGATGGGAACTTGACTTTGAATCTTATTATCATATCAAGTGTCGTCCATAGGAAAAGACAGACAAATGCTTTATCGTTAGTTTTTAAGAGTGAATGACTGGTTAAAATTCTTCCATGGAAGTCCAAAAAATAGATTTAGTCAAGTGTCGAAATTTGGTAAATCTTTTGATTGTACTTGTTTTCCTGGGAGTTGTAGAAGGTTTTTTCATTTTTTTTTAATTTCTCAGGAAAAAGTATGCGTGCAGTCAGATGCTCCAGTTAAGTTGTTCTCTGACATGAGATAGGTCCTCAAAATGTTGCTGGAAGGCAATTGTATTTTGAAATGTCCTTTTCTTGACAACTCAAAACTAATAAATTTAGGTTATATACAACAGATCAATTCTACTTGATACGGGTGGGAATATCATACAAATGCAGGACACGGTTGTATCTCAACTGTGGAAGACTGCAAAATTAGATGGTTAAGGTTTGTGGTGAGGTTTGGACATGGACACTGAACAATCAAGTCAGTCCTATGTTGTGTGAAATTCCATTATCCTCAGTCTCTATTGTTGTAGTTGGGCTACATGAAAGCACGAATGCTGATGCTTCAGCAACAAAAAAACTTTGATGTGCTGAATATTGGGATGAACTTGTAAACTGAGTTACTTTATGTTGAAAACCTGTGTGAGGATATGGGTCCCTGGCAAGGTGGCACCTGGGCAGTGTGCATATTAGCTAGTAAATTCAGGTTTAGGGTTGGCTTTGGGAGAAGTAGATAATTGGTTCCAGAAGCTCTGATCTTAGTTTGAGAAATCACTAGGATTGGCATTCATTATACCTCGACCAAGTTGTGTAAACAATAGTGTGGTTGCTTGCAATGAAAATCGAATCTCCACACCCAAGAGCCATAGCTTTAGGACTGTGTATGAAACTAGTGGTTTTTTGGTTTCATAATTAGGTTGTGTTTAGGTGATTGAGATGAGGCTGGATAAGTAGGAGACTAACGGCAGTAGAGGAAAAGTGAGCAATCTCTTTACAGACTTTTTTTTTCTGAATTAGTTGAAACTTTTTTTTTGGCCAATTGAGTTATTTGTCACGTATAAAGCATGATATTAGATTTTAGTTACTGGATTGGAACCTATATAATGAATTAGAACTATTCGTGCCATGTGGCTATTGAGTAGATTGTTCGATTATTTTTTTTCTTTTCCATGGATAAATCATTAAAAGGTTACTTCTCATTGCTTATTGGAATTCTCTAGTCAACATTTTATACACTGGTGGAGTGAAATTTCAATGTGGATTCCTCTGTGGTTGTATTTCTTTGTCAAGATCACCTGATTGCTACTCGAGATGTATAAGGAATGCTAGGTCAATAGCTATGCCAAGTATAAAGGCAATGCTTTCGGTATGGTGGGTATGATGGAATGTTGATGCATGTCACCGGACATTTGAAGTGTCACAGTTGCTTCAAAAATGGCAGGAAAAATGTTTAGTCCAGTGGAGTTACAAGCTATGATCTGGTTTCAGTGCGCCGTGAGTGCAAAAGCCTGCAAAGCGTGACTTTCCAAGGTGGTACAAGGTGGGACTGACTCAGGGTGAGTTACTGTACTTGTCACACCCTACTCTGTTCTCCGAAGTAGTGTTGCTTCTCAAGGCAAAACTGATGGTGGTTAAGATGATTTTGGAAGATAGGGAGCTGATAGATGTTGTGTGTCTGTAAAAGGCGTTTCCAGTTGGTGATGAAATAGGCAGGACAGTATAGAAAATCGTTGTTGACATTGAAGAATCCTGGAATTGGTTACTTGTTACACCATATTCTCACGAAAGTTCACGACCGCGGATCGAAATGTTCTTACGGTCTTTGGCATTCTGTCTTGTGTGACACGCCACCAGGGTGAATGGATCGACTTGGTTGGCGGAACCTCATTCGATTGGCCAATGATTGGACAGAGTCATTTCCCTGCCATTCCTGACTGCTCCATCCCCGTTAATATTGTGCCACCCAGATTGTGGTGGAGGAGGGCAATGTCCATATCCCTTTGGTTTCTCGTGGCCACTCTTCTGCAGCTTTCACGAGCAGACCTCCGAGAAGCGATCCCTTCTGAATTCCTAAGCCTTGGCGTGGTTGGTTCGGACTGTGATGTGATTGAGAAAGTGGGCTTACTCAAGTGTGCACCATAGCAGGTGAAGGTTACTGTCTAACCATAATTCGGAAAATGATTAAGAACGAAACCTCTGAAAAAAGCAACTTACGCTCTTTGCACTATTCACAGACGCCAACGGACTACCAGTTACTTATGTTCTTTTCTGTCGAAACTTAAAAACCAAATTTAGAAAATTATGAAAGATTTTACATAATTGCAAGCGACCTTGCGTATTCATATCTATCATGTTAAAACTTTAGAGTATTTGATGTCAAATGGAAATCAAATCTCTAATGATAAAGAGTAAAAAGTCACTCCAAACACACGTTAATTGTCATTGTTGTTAATGCGCAAGATAGCTCGCCGGTTGGGTCAAGATCCGCATGCTTGAATCCGGTCTGCGCACACAGATAACAACATCCAAGCGTCTGGGATTGTGACTCTGATTGACCCTCCAATGTTTAAGTTAGTAAAGCGAGTAACGAAATGATGATGGAGCTCAAATTGAATGAGCGGCTTAGAAGCTTTTCTGCACCCTTGATATAGGTACTCATGGGCTAATTCGAGTGTACTCTTCATCGTATACTTCCTAATGTCCTTTGTATGTTGGGCTAATGCGTTGGGAAGTTTAGCTCGTCGGCCACTAGAATGAGCACATCACCTGTCAGGTTTATGTGATTCATCGACATACCACTAGGCGCTCATTCAACATTGTTATAAGAGTTGCACACCGGCAATGGAATACGATAGTAACCGTTCATACGAGCGAGCCCATCACTGCTATGAACAAACCCTTCGCTGCCGCCGAATCGCAACGCGCACTTTTGTTTTTCCATACTAAGTACGTAACATGGAGACATTGATGCTTCAGCCAATTCTGAGCCCAAGTGTTTTACTTGGGGACGTGCAATTCAAACCTTTCTGCCTTTATAGACATTTCTTTCTTTCCATTCTAAAGATTTTAACTAGTTACTTGGTTTGTACTTTTCCGAGTATCTCCGTAAACATTTTTGCAAACTAGTAGTTACGTTAGTAATGTGATATTGCAATCGCAACAAACAAATGATGTACCTTTTGAGTAACCGTAGTTATAGGTCTGTATGTATAAAACATCAAAACTTAAGCTGATAGTGATACAGGGTCGGAAACATAAATGGCATAAGTTAATTCAAAGAAATGTTTGGGTATCGATAATATTGACCTAATATAAAGTGTAGAACATAATAGTATAGTAAGTATCGAAACTTGTTTTGCGGAAAATGTATGATTTGGAATATATTTTTTGAAAAATGATTGCTTATATCTCTTGAAACAGTTAATCAATGGAAAATGTTTTCACTATCGATAACATTTTATATCTAAACATTTTCATAGACAATGAAAATACTTTCTATTTATTCATTTTCATAAGGAATATAAGAGATCCTTTTTTTGAAAAATAATTTTTAATTTTTTAATTTTTCGCAAAGCAAACGGGGCTTAAATCATCAAAAGTACTTTTCTTTCTTCATGATTATGTTTCGTATCTCCTTACTCGAGTACTGCCTAACCCTATGTATCTCTCTAGTAATTTGAACCGCTTATTCTAAAGGTTCGAGTCTTCTAAAATATTGTTGACACCTAAATTTCGGCGCATCATTTAGTGATTAATTGCATAGAAAATTAGGGATTAAATTTTAATCCCTGAACAAAAATATTACAAATCGCATAGCATAAAGTTTAGGTTCATATAGATTAACTGCATTTCGCATCGGAACGGCGGTGGTAAGCGAGCTTAAAATTCATCACGTAAATCGAGCTCGAGCACCGAATGAGATTCGGCTCACTCGGAAAGCATGGGCCGAAAATCACACACAAAAGGGCTTGGTTGTCTTAATTTGAGCTTAAATTAGCCCATTATGCTTAATTAAAGAAAAGCCCAAATTAATTCAGCCCACTTAGAATTAAATTAAAGCCTAAACCTAAGCCCATTAGGACTAGAAAGCCCGGCTAATTGACCTAGGTTTACATTATAAATATATGTTTATGTCTCATAATCAAGGGGGGCTCTCATAATTTTTCAGATCGGATTTTTAGAGAGACATACGAGAGAATTTTGAGAAGAATGAGAGAGAGAGAGGAGACCGCCCGCCGCGCCGCACTGCACGCCTGCTGCGCCACCGCCTGCCGCACTACGCCGGAGCTGCTCCGCCCCTCAGCCGCTGCGTGCCACCGCCGCGCGCCGCTCCTCTGCCGCTGCTGCCGTCTCTCGTCGTGTGCCACCGCCGCCGCATGCCCGCCGTCGCCCTGCCGCACACCACCGCTGCGCGGTGCCACCGCCCGCTCGGACGTCCTTGCTCCGCCCGCCTGTGTCGTCGCTGCTCGCTGCACAGCCGCCGGAGAGCTGCCCTGCACTGCCGCTCGCCAGCCGGAGTCGCCTGCACCGCCGTTAGCCCACCGCCTGTGCTGCCGCTGTTCGCTGCACAGCCGCCGGAGAGTCGCCCGTCCCCGCCTGTTGGCCGCTGCCCGGAGACGCCCGCCGCGCCGCCGTTCCCGTCGTGTCACCGTCGCTAGCCGCCACTGTTCCCGACGTCACGCCGCCGCTCCCGACGCACCGCCGATTCGCAATCCCGAACCGCTACAGATTCAAATTAGGAAAGAAATCTGCAAATCAGGTAATTATCATATCCCGATTTTATTCGAATATTTGGTTGCCTAATTTGTGCTTATTGATATCTAATTTTGCATATTTGGATAATAAGCATTATTTCAATTAGGATTTTATTTCCTTTTTTGAA